TGATGGCGTTGTCAGCGAACCATCGGTGTGCTATGGTGGGCGGTCTAGTTGATGGAGATTATGCAAAATGTCTATGAGAAGAGTGTCCGATCGGGCTGCCTCCACACTGTCTAGAACGTGTTTCCCAGCGTTGCGCAGTAATTTAAGACAATACGCCCACTTACCTGTCCATCAGCCAGATTTAGAGAACTGTGCAGCGCGTACAGGTCGGTGTAACCAGTTATCCAATAAAAAGATCCCTAAGATCTGAGCAAAAAATCGTGCAAGAATCGTCTAAAATGCGTGAAGACTACTCAGGTAGTCAGAAAGCTAAGATGGGCGGTCTGGCTGCCCGTGGAATCCAGGCTGGGCGTATGCAGTCCTCGACGACGCTTGATGGTCAGCAGCCTGGTTGACGAGTCTGATGAGTGCCACCATACGTTGTCACCATTCTAAGCAAGGTTAAGATTTGACCAACGCCTACACCACCAAACTAGTGTGCACGCCACGTGCTGTCGCCAATTTGTAGTGTTTGACCCAAGTTTGACCTGATGTCCAAATGAGACTGGCTCACGGCCCAAAATAGATGGATGCGGAGTGACTTGACACCTGCTAGGCGGACTGACAAGGTCCTCGACATCACGCTTAGCCCTTTGAATGATGGCTGCAGCGATGTCAATGTCTCCCGAGGTCCCTGGAGATTACATACTGTGAACTTAAATGCAGTGACTTTGAGAACATGTTAGTCATTTTAAGCCTCTAGGGTGTCACTTGTGACTTGATCAACGGCTTCCAAAACAAGAGATTCCAGACTCACCATAATCAAAAGATACTTATAGCTTCCTTTGTTGTACACGAAGCGCAGTGGTGCCACAGTCCGTCCCTAGTCTTCAAATTGATGATGGGAATTCCAGTTTCTCGCCCTTCCACCCGAAGCTCTCAGAGCTACCAGACGCTAGGGGTCCTCAGCTGTAAAGTTCAATGGAGCACCTTTTCGCCGTCCTGATCTCGCGAAAGACGGCAATGATACAGCATCACTGTCGTCGGTACTTGTATGTATATTCATAGATGAATTATCCACTTCGTCCGGCAGCCGCAAAGTCGATAGCGACAGCGATCACCACAGTCTCTACATAGATAACAAGGTCAAGAGGCAGTGTATTGTGATCAGTTATACTCACGCGGACGTGTGCAAACCGGTCCCTATGATTATCAGGAAGAGCCATGGTGCTTCTTCCGGAAACCACTGGCAGTGTGGCAGGGCTTGCGTGCGCACCTAGAGCAATACGGTCGGTCTTCCGCCGAAACCTGTGTATCATACGCTGTGAGCGGCCTTCCATAGGGACGATCGCCGCAAACACATATATTTACCTGAATCGCGCAATTGTGGAACACATCAACCAACCAAAAATATTTATCACTTTTAAATATAAACTCCGATTCATTTTGCGGCAGCCCCGCGTCCAGACTCCAGACTCGGCTAGCCGAATGTCCTTGTCGGCCGATGAATGATATTATAGCGCCACCTGCATGTCGCGGGAGGGATTCGGACTGAGCACAACTTCAGCGTGCGGCTTGGTTATCAGACCATCCGACAGACCGGGCGGCAAATCACGTACAAGCCGCCGTGACTGCACCCCACGTACAGACCCTTGAATCTCCACCATAACGAGCCCTTAACCCGATGACCGACTGACTTGTCATTAGCAAGCCCAAAGAGATTATTAAAGCCGTTCCATTTCGAATGCCTAAGCTCGAAAATATCGGGCTCCGAGCCGTGTAAAGGGCTGAGTAGGTACATTGTAGATGGAGCAAAACCCATGATCGAATCTGTCAATCTAGGGTATTGATCTATCATCGCGATGCAGACTGCGGTCTTGCACGAAAATCCCCGGAGTGAAAACCGCTACGGCCTGTTCAAGAGACCCGGTCGTTGCTACTCGCGTCACAGGCACCTAGCAAGGAGAGTCCAGACAACGCAGAGTCGTTGATCAGACTACCCCACTTGATGGTGATCATACCAGTGCAACTATCTGTCTGTCACAGCCCATTAGTTCGAATACCATCAGAGCATATGAACGGACACGCTCAACACGTTGAAGACCGCATGGCTCATTGGCGTATTTGATCCTCATGATCAGTGTTGTTGTCGGCACTGTTGATCTATTTCAATCGCAATAGCGCTCTAAGACCACGTTGAATCGATATCTATTGAGAAGACAGAGAAATGGATAAATATGTAGATATTATACACGGACGAGCACTGCGCGGTCCCGTGGGCAATCCTTCTTGAGTTCCTAACGCAGTTCGCAGTCAAAGGCGTCAAGGTACGTCTGATACCCAGTATGAGGCATGCTTACCTGCAGTTAAATTTGCCATCGTGACTCCTCACTCCGGTCGAAGTCCTGCCTATGGATGTCACAGCGTGTAAACCATCTTCGGCGTTAATCCAATAACACCACCACCTCGGCCGTCCCACCCGGGTATGGGCGCTCTACAGACAGGACAGCTAAAGGATGCGGATATGGACGGCATCCGAGACCATGCAGATGATGTTAGCAATGTCCCTTTTTATCAATATGGAACGATTTTTTTTTGAATACACCTACCGAGCTATTCGCTCGCTCGCGGGTACAGTATACATATTGCGCTGTATCGTCGTTTTGACAGCAGTAAACAGACATTCGCCACAGCAAATATGTCCGCAGGGTGTCAAGGTTGCTCGCATCGGTGGTGTGAAGCAGATAGGGCACGTATATTCTGACAAAGGTTCGTCTCCACAAGTGGCTTGTTCACAGGCCGAAGTTTTGAGGGGCTCCTTCGAGGAGGATGCATGTTGGGAGGGTTCATCGTCTGCGACAAGTGATTCTGCTCGCCTCTTGCCGCGTCCTCTGGAAGGAAGTGGATACAGGGAATCGGGGAGCGCGTCCACGTCAATAGGCCCGTCGTTTTGATCTACAACTGAACTGCTTTTCTCCTTAGCCTCATCCGCTGTATTTCTGACGTGGCTGGGACCCGCCACAGGCGCCATCACAGTTAGGGAGGTTTTCCCTGGAGTATCACAGCCGCTGGGAACGTCTGAGAGTATAGCTGTGCTGCCAGAATTCTCAGACGAGACGCCTGCATGACTGGACCCCTGCCCTATGACCGAGCCTCCGCCAAGTTCGGCCTCGACAAATGTGGGCTCCATATCATCTTCAGCGGATCCGCTGGAAGAGCGAATGGAAGGCAAAGCTGTGAACAGCGGTGGAGCGTCCGGAGCGGACTCATCATACGCAGAGCAATAATGTTGGTCGTCCACTCTGCGCCTCTTCCGCGGGCGTTCGATAGGCCCGTCATCCGGCTCCCATACCATGTCCATGGGCTGTTGTTCGAGCGAAGCCTCCCCGGCACTTCTAGCTGAGTCGGCGTCCGCATGCACAGCTGTCATAAGTCCCGGATCAGCTTCATCTGAGAGCGCCATGGACGAGGGGCCAACTGAGTTGGCGCGAGACTGAGAGCTTGATGCTGTTGCAGACCGGGAAATTGAATTGGAATGTGCAGAAGGACCTCTACTCCGACATGGACGGAGCGACCTAATTGTAATAGTCGTTGGCGCAGGCAAGGGCATATCGGGTGTCAGGTCGGGGGCATGACCAACTTCCATATCTAATGAAATCCATCAGAATCACATTGCTGATATAAACATAATACGTACCTAGGTGAAGAAGCACTACGCAGTTTTACGGAAACCCAGGGTGTGACAGACTTCGAGTTATAATCAGCCGGAACGACGTGCGGAGAAAGCCAACTGTGGCGGATATTTCTGAGGGAGGGTGATTGATAAACAAGCACACCGCAGATTCCAGGCACGTAATAAGACTAGAAGAGTAGCGGTAGCGCAGCAGGGCAAGTAAAAGTAATAAGTAGCTCCCTCCGACCGACTGTGGCTGAGGATTGCTGAAGGCCCATGCTAAGCGCTTAGGAGGGTGTTGGCACGTGATCGAATTGGAACACGTCGCCGACTTGTGCCACTGCCAGTGGTCGCAACCTTCCGTTTCCTCTCCATCCACCAGGCGGATCAACTGCGAGTCGTTTGGGTCGTCTCAAGATGGCCACGGCCGTGTTACCAGGCAGGCCAGGTTCTCCGACGCTTCTTGACAAACTAGATGACATCGTGCCGGCACCGCTCGCCCAATTCGATGCTTTCCCCAAGCTCCCCTCCACCTACAAGGCACGCTCAGAGTCGCGAGGCTTTCTTACCATCTTCGTGGCTCTTGTAGCATTTCTGCTCATTTTGAATGATCTTGGCGAATATTTATGGGGCTGGTCCGATCATGAATTCAGTGTTGACTCAGATACGACGAACGGATTGAATCTCAATGTGGATCTTATGGTCAATATGCCATGCCAATGTAAGCACTTTGGCTTTTCGCTCGCTCTTTAGCAGCCAACGTAGTCCGCGTCGTCCACAAATGGTTTTCCCACCACTAAATATGGAATGTTGTTGGTGTTATGATCATGCGCTATGCGATCCATGGGTAGAATTTCGTATGGTGAGCGAGCACTTTTAGGACATGTAATCTGACGAAGCCACATGGGTGGCTACTGACAGTGTTATTCTCTTGCATTAACAGGTCAATCTCATTGAGGTGTCCCCTTCGACCCTCGACCAGTGCATCACGCTACTAGCTATACTAAAACTTGTCACTAATCGTGAAGCATTAACGTTTTGACAACTTGCCCCTCACGTGCATCCATGAGGACCATCCAACATGTGGTGGCCTGGTCTTCGTTTTCTTCCCTACTCATTCTTTTTAAGGGTATACAGTGTAATGCTAATCCCATATTCTCAGACCTCAGTGTTGACCTCCGAGATGCTGTTGGTGACCGCTTGTTTTTGAGCCGAGGTTTCCGCCGGGATGGGATTAAGTTTGACGTTGGGCACGCGACGGCCCTCAAAGAACATGCCGCCGCACTCTCTGCGCAACAGGCAATCGCCCAGTCTCGCAAGTCTCGCGGGTTCTTTTCGACGCTTTTCCGGAAAGATGTTGCCCAATATCGTCCCACACACAATTACCAAAAGGACGGTAGTGCCTGCAGGATCTACGGAACAATCACGGCGAAGAAGGCCACTGGTCAGTGCTTCATCAAATGTTGAGATTTTGCCTTCTTACGATTCAATGAATGTTTTCAGCCAACCTCCATATAACTACGATCGGTCATGGGTATGCGAGTCGTGATCATGTCGACCACAAATGTGAGTCTCGGATCATCCTATCAACATTAGCCAGCTTACAGCCCTCCCGGAATCTTTAGACATGAACTTGTCCCATGTCATCAATGAATTTTCTTTCGGCCCTTTCTTCCCCGAGATAGTACAGCCTTTAGACAATTCTTTTGAATTGGCGCTTGATCGTAAGCGGTTGTAACTTTCTACGATTCAGCCCTCTGAACATATTATAGCTTTTGTCGCATATCAATACTATCTACATGTTGTCCCGACGACTTATATCGCACCACGTTCCACGCCATTGCACACTCATCAGTACAGCGTCACACACTATACGCGTACTATGAGTACCCATCAAGGCACTCCGGGTATTTTCTTCAAATTTGATCTAGAGCCCATGCACTTGACAATCCATCAGCGAACGACAACGCTCGCACAGTTTTTGATCAGGTGAGTGATACAGGTTTTGCACCGCCATTAGAAGATATAAATTTCAGTCAAGGTGCGTAGGTGTCGTGGGCGGCATCTTCGTGTGCATGGGTTACGCAGTCCGTGTGGGGACAAGGGCAGTCGAAGCCGCTACAGGAGTGGACAGATCGCAGGGCATTGTCGCTGCTGAAGCGAGCGGCGTCGGTATCGGGATACGAAAACGCTTCGGTAGCGCGGATTTAAGGCTCCGTGCTGGACCGAACGCATCCAATATCATCAGGTCAGGGCCTGGCTGGGTGGTGGAAGGTGGCAGTCCGTACGGGAGCTACGCGGGTACCCCAGTCTCTGGCGGCTTCCCTTCCCCAAGTACAGGTGGATATCCGACCTCGCCATTCTCCAGTCCTAATATTGCCGGACCACCGCCACACCGCCACTCCACTTCTGGGGTCAGCCTCGGCGTTCCCTCTCCTTCATTTGGTCCGTTGGGCGCTGCTGCCCCGCCGGCTGCAGATGCTTTTCCGACCGCTGCTACCGCTGGCTCGCCGTATAGTGGTACGATATCGGTTCCGCCCACGCCAGGGACACCGGGAAGCGGATTTTACTCACATTTCCCGCCGACCCCGAACCCCGCACACTCACCGCAGAGTAGTGTGGCGGGTTTCGGGACACAGCAGACTGGACCGCCTCGAAGGAACGGTGGCCTCCGGCATTCACGCACCGAGAGCATCACTAAAGTGAAGAGCGACTAGTAATTATTGATTGCTGCGGCCTGAGGGTGGACCGGACTGTAGGGCACGTGAGTACGCTTGCCGTACGGAATTTCTATTGTCTGTATAATAGCTGGCTTGTCTATGTGTTGTGTTGATGTTTTGGTAGCGTACATACTACAGGCATTACCGTAAATTGTACAAGCCGTAGGCATTCCCTGCCGGACTGGTCCAGCTTCGATACTCACGTGATCGCGTATTTCGTCGACAAATTCGTGGCGTGTCCTCTCGTGTCCTGCATTGTGGGCCACGGTAGTCATTCAGAAGTTGCCCTGCTTAAAGGCCAGATAATTGGCTCGGCCCACTTTCGAATACGAGTCGCACTTCAAATGCGCTTTCGAGCGGACATTGGAAATGCTAACACGTTCTTCAGTGAGGCGCAAGGATTATACGACCATATGCGCTAAGCACTGACGGAGGGCAGAGATATGGCAGGCGATCGAGAAGCAGCAAAAACGGTGTATCATTAGGTTCTCAGAAAATGAGATGCGAATCATCTGCAACAACGACGTGAACGAGGGTGGGATACAGGTCTGGTCGTGCGTGTCGTCTTTATATTCTGTGCCTTTGAACGACAACTATCAGTGCTCAACGTGTATTTTCAGACAAATCAAAGCGCGGTCTCTGTTCACAGAATACCGCGTAGAATCCAACGCGAACAACGAAATTACAATGACCATATCAACAGAGGCCCTCCTATCAGCGCTCCGATCCGCGTCGACACCGGCAGGACAGACTGGATCCTTTGCGGCAGATGCAGATGTCGTCATGAGGTACGTAGCACTTGACCCCGCTCGCCACGCCTTGTATTGATTCATGGAAGCAGGCTTATCAAGAAGAACGGCCAAGCTGTTCTAAGTTTTGGGATCAGTGGGACGACGCGAAATGGTAGACAAGTGCGCATCGCGCATGACGTTCGAATTGATGTCATGCGACCAAATGACGTCCAAAGGCTCAAAGAGCCTATGTGCCCGGAGCCAGAGGTATGTCTGTTCTGCGACTTCCTCAGTTACTCATTTCTGTCCTAAAATCGCGTATGATTAGGTGCATATCGTTCTTCCCCCTCTTGCGAAGCTTCGCACGGTCGTAGAGCGTTTAAAGCCGCTTGCTGGAGATGTCGTAGCCATACGGGCGAATGGCTCGGGGTGCCTGCAGCTGAGCGCGCAGACGGACAGCGCGCGCGTTGATGTTTCATGGAAGGGGTTGGCAAACCCTGCGATGAGTAAACATCCTCCTCCATCGCCTGAAACCTTGAGCTGATGGGTATGTACAGCCAGGGATGCAAACAGCCAGGACCCAGATGCGGGGGACGACTCAGACATGCACGACTCCTCTCAGATGTATGGTGTATTAGTGTCCCTCAAAAGCCTCCAGAAATTCCTTAGCAGCCATGTGGTGTCAACGACGACCATCGCTTGTATGTGTGTCACTCAAGACTTGTGATTTTGGACTGAATCCTTTCCTTTATGGGCAGGTCTCTGTCAAAACCATTGTATTATTCTTTACGTTTACATCGGCGAAATGGCTGATGCTGGCGGGGG